TGGCCTTGCAGAATCAGCAACAACAAAAGCAAAGTAACCTCGGCTTTGGTGATGAACAAAGGCTCTTTGACAGCATCTCTCTGCATCCCTCTGGCTCCCCTGGCTGCGGCACATTCGAAGATTCCTGTCAAGACCTTAAATGTCCCAAGAAACAGACATTCTCAGCGTCAGAATCAGAAAGACTGTGCTTTGAAAGGCAACATTGATTCCAACATCTTGGAGCAGGTGTCCAGTACAATACTCAAGGCCCTAGCTTTGCAATGAGCTGCCACCAAGATTGAAGCACTCACGAGGAACAGAGCCCAGCGTTGTGCCCTGACCGGTCTTCACAAGCAAACTCCACCGGTCTTCGCCCATCAGAACTATTGACATATATGATGAAACATGTATATATATATATGTTGTTTTCATAGGTACTAGGGGCTCCTGGCCTTACTACTAGGAGCAAGGACGCTACTAGCGTACTAGTAACAAGGAGCTATTAGAAACAATAAATAGAATTATAAAAATAGAATTAAGTTTAATTATATAGGTGGATTGAGAGTAGATGGCACAGGCCCCAAGAGGTAGTTTATATGGAACCCCGTCTAAAGGACATCATGGGGTCTGTGCCATCTACTGTGAAAACACTGTATATATTGGAAACCTCGTGCTTGGCTCTTATTCTCCATGTGTGGCGATCCTCAAGGCTGCAATGAAAAGAGACCCTGGTGTGCCTGACAGGCGGAGGTCTCAAGACACAAGCAGTCAGACGAGAGTACCTCTTGTGGCTAACACGCAACTTTCCACAAAATTATTTGATGTTGATGATGTTTGATTCGGTCAAACATCTATCGAAGCACTCGATGGAGATCAAGTACACCACCTCGGATAGGGGAAGGGTAATTACAGTACATGGATACCAAGAACTCTGTTCATCTTCTGGCGTGAACTTAACTTACCACGTTGATTTGATATGCTTTGAGGGCTTGCACCTAAATGATGTAAGGCTGCAAGCGGTTCAGACTCTATTGACACTCCCAGAAACATGAGAAAAGAAGCTGCCCTTACAACGACAGTGTTTGGACGTTGAACCAAGCTGGCAGTATCACTGCATGTTCAATGTTGTTGTGTCAGGAATAAGTTCCAAAATCCTTGCTTACTTTGCTGCGGCACGTGCGTTGGCGTTTAAAGAGGCTTGCCGCACGTTAAGTGCGGTCAAACACGGAAGAGGCAAAATGCAACTTGTATTTCGGTCAGAGTACAGCAGTGTAGGCGATCAGGAATGGCCACCCGCCTGCGCGCTGACGAAAGCAATATCAAGTGGGGAAAGGACAAAAGCAAGCAACGTCTTTCACCTGCAAAGGTTGCTGGGCCCATGATCTCACCCAGAACGAAGCCGAAGAAAATTCTGACAAGGTACTTCGGAAACCTCCCAGAGCTTCAAGACTTCATCTGAAAATGCATTTGGAAGGATTAGCGTCAAGGCTTTTCCCATAAGAAAACATGAATCCATCAACTCAGCAAGGTGCTTCTTGGGAGCTCTCCTTTCGCCTGTCACAGAATTGAACCTCTACACCTGTGCCGTGCCGAAAACAACCGACATGATTGGACAAATGCTCAAGAATCAAGAAAAAGTGTTGCATGCTTCAAGCAATCGAACCACATGGCTTATGACAAGGATGCTACGAAAACCTGCTGCACTAAAGCACGCTCTCTCACGTCTCTTTTGCAGCCTAGCACCTCCTTCTCCATCTTTTGTTCACTAGAAAAAATAGCAAGGGCTCCCAGCTCATAGCAGCTCAAATGATGTTCAATGATCCCAAGACGTAGAAGGTCAGGTAGAGG